CATACTGCATCGGACCGAAGTCCGGAACACATAATACAAAACATACTTGAATCACAAAGACATCAAGCAATCTAACTACTGCATAGGACCGAGGTCTGAAATTACTGCTAACTAAACGGGTCGGCATTGTGGCTGTAGACCCGTTCCTACTGGAAGGAAGACTCAACTCGTAGTCTAGCTGCTGAATGAACTGCTTTGGAATCTGTCTGCTGCTGCTCCGGTTTCACCCCGACTACAATTTTTATAAGTACACTCAATCAAATACTGATAACTATACTGAGGGTAAAATGACTATTTTACCCCTGATCAAAGTCAACCTCTTGGTCAAAGTCAACATACAGTTGACCTGACTTGTCGAGTTGGGCCACCAACTCGTCGAGTCCCTACTCTCATTTCTCGATTCTATTCGCTACTACTCGTCGAGTTTGGCATAGACTCGACGAGTTCCACTTTGATTCAAACACTTAGTCAATCTGCATCCGACTCGCCGAGTTATATGAACAACTCGTCGAGTTCTCCTTCATCATATGAACACTCCTACTAGGACTCCCTGAGTTGTATGAACAACTCATCAAGTCTGTTCTTGAGATATGAAGATTGCCTTGGACTCGCCGAGTCAGGGCATTGACTCGCCGAGTCCCTCCATGGATGACTCTGATCACCGACTCACTGAGTCCCCCTAAAACTCACCGGTTCCACTCGACATAATACATAGAAGGGGAAAACTCTAGGACTCGCGACCCGACTCACCAAGTCCGAAGAATGACTCGCCGAGTCGCATGCATGCAATCACTATGTACTCGATTCTGCTTGAACCCATTGCATTCCTTCCATAGATCTGGGTTCTTAGGGCTCAATTAACACATAAAGTTTCCAACTTTACGTGTAGATAAACACCAATGACGAATTTAAGGCTCAAAACACACTAGAAGAGTATATCTAGGGCTTTCATGCAATATGGCTCCATAAAGGCAGTAGATTTGGGCTCTTGAAGCTCAAACCTAGCTAGATTCAAAGGCCATTCCACTCAAGATGATCTATATATTACAATCAAGCTAGGAAATGGGTAAAGATGGCTTAAATGGGGTTTTCTAAAGAAAATCATCATGGCAATAGAAAGGATCCGAAATATACCTTAATGGACTCTGGATTGAATTCTAGATCCTTGCTCTTCTCCTTCTCCTTGGTCCTTCCTTCCTTCTCTTCTTCAAACTTCAAGGAAAAGTACACAAAAACACTCAAATCACAAAGGGGAGGGTTAGGGTTTGTTAAAGGGTGCTCTGAGAGTGAAGGGGGCGAGCTTGGGACGCATAAGGGGGTTTAAATAGGGTGCAAACCCTTGAAGTTAGGGTTTTATCCAGACAGGTGGACTCGCCGAGTCCAGGATATGGATTTGTCGAGTCCCCAACTCAAACGTGCTCGATATCTCGCCTCTACTCAGCGAGTCGGGCCTGCAACTCGCCGAGTTCCAACTAAAAATGCAAAAAATACTTAGGTTAAAATACATACCAAGAACCAGGTGTTACAATCACATACCTTGTTCTTTTCAAAGTTCTTTTCTCTTTTTAAACTTCTTTTTATATAATGATTTTACTTTTGAAAATTTTCATACCAAGTCCTTAGTTTGAGTTCAGACACACCGACCTACCCTGCTGAGCATACCGAGGTGCCTAACCTACCTCTGTCAGATATACAGGGGTATCCGACCTACCCCTCCGATTTATCTCAATCGGTTACGGGGACTAATTCACCCCTACTATTACTACATAGAAACATAACATAATCATATTGTCAGACATAGCGAGGTGTCGGACCTACCCCTTGGCCCTATCGAATAGATATGGGGACTATTCCCCCTACTACCACTATCACATAACATCATATCATGAACATACTGCTAACACATATATAAGAGCATCCTAGCACGTAGAGCATATCAGATAGACACAAACCAGTCAATTATCACACATAAAATTATCTCATACATAATCACGTATTGGTGGTCCAACATTGGTGTATTAGACCCACCTCTACTGGAAGGTAACTCAACTCACACTGCTGAAGTCCAGCAGACGAAACCCTGGCTGCTGGATGATAGCTTCCCAAACTGTCAATATTAAAACAACACCCAATTAAAATTGGGTTCCAACACAAAAATCATAAGTCCATGCTTGGGGTGAAATAATGCTTTACCCCTATCTTAGCTTGATTCAACTCAAGGCCCAATCCAAAGGCCCAAAAGTTAAACTATGAATCAAAGCCCAACATATGGCCCAATTTTCCAAATTGGGCCCAAACCTTTACATGGTCTTATTCTGAGGCCCGACCATTTAGTCTAGTCCAAACATTTGGCATTTCTAATGGTCCAGTATCTCATAATCATGAAGGGCTAATTATGGCCCACCTATGACCCAATTTTCCAAATCGGGCCCAAACCCTCATATGGGCCTTACCTTAAAGCCCATCCATATATTCTTGGTCCATAAAGTTGTTCTTGAATGGCCCATTATTAGCCCAATCACCAAAGTCCAACTCAAGGCCCAAGTGAAATTAGGATTTCACATAAAATAACAATTAGTGTTAAGTGTTTCTCACTTAACCTATTAGGGACTTAATCGATTAAGTCAATCCCTCTACTAGATAAATCATATAATGTGATTGGGTGTAATTCACAACTCCATTCCAATGGCCCAAAATGCGGGTCCCGATAAGTCCAAGCTCATAATTCCAAAATTAGGGTTTTCTAAACCCTAATTAGGGTTTCTAACGCAATAGGCCCAAAAGCTAAATCCTTAGATCCATTAGGGTTTCATTAGGACAATTAGGGTTTCACTAGGCCCATTAGTGTTTCGCTAGTTGGGCACCACCACCTACTACCTCGGGTAGTGGTGGTCAACGGCGGCGGCCACCACCTCATGGTGGTGGTTATGGCTCCTAGTCCATTTTTGTCCAAGCATCCAAAAAGCAACTAAACGCAAGAAAAAGCACACCGCCACCCAACACGACGGTTGGTGGCGGCAGGAGGCGGCAGCCACCACCTCATGGTGGTGGTTATGAGTTTCTTTTCATTATTCTACTTTCTAGTTACATTTACAATGCTAAACCCCAAACAACACACACACACTAATACAAACACAAACACAAAGCCACCATAGTGGTGGCTGCTGGTGGCAGCCACCACCTCACGGTGGTAGTGGTGACCTTTTCTTATTTTTCGGCAAGAGGAAACACGCACAAAACATACTAACACCAAACAATCGGTTGAAACTAACACACACACACGCATTGCAAACACCATCACTTAAAAGCAGTGGTTGGCGGAGGCAACTTGATGGTTGTCGTCGATGAACATGGCAACAACGACAACTTGTCATCAACGAACACGGAGAACAGAGGCGACGGAGAGAAGATGCGACTGTGATGGTGGCGCTTCGACGAACTGAGGGAGAAGAAAAGATGAAAGTGAAGCAGCAACGATGGAAGAGGATGATAACGGCGCTATGAGGCTCCATGACGGCAAATCAGCAACGACCAGGTGGTGATCGCCTCACCAAGGCGGCGACTGGAGGGTCACGGTGGTTTACGTCTTCAGTGGAGTCACACAGCATTGGCTTGGTAGTCGGAGAAGGAAGGGGGTAGGGTGGCGGCCGGTGATGGAGGTATAAGGGTGAGGTGACGGTTGTTCCTCCATTTAGGGTTAGGGTTTGTATGGGTTATATACCCGCGACCTACGAAACTTAATGCCATAATGTCAAGAATAGTCCCTTCGTCTCCCTTTTCTTTCATAACAAATACATAATTTACCCTTTTAACCCCATCCATCTAAAATCCCTTCAAATTAAGTCCGCCCAACAGCCCCTCATTCAACAAATTGTTTTTGGTTGTAGTCATTATGTTACATTCAGCCCCTAAGCCTCTAAAATCTCTTCAAATTAAGTCCCAATAATTTACCATGTAGTCCATGTCTTCATACTTATTTACGAAACCAATTTGAAACTTACACTTTTAACGCTCAGTCTCTAAAATTATGAAAATTAGCTCCTCGAGACCAATACCTTACTATATAATTATTGATTTTAGGGCTACTATATATATATATATATATATATATATATATATATATATATATATATATATATAATAAACGGGGTGTTACAATCAACTTCCAAGCTTCTCCTAGAAGACTCAAAATGCTTCAAAGGTTGTTACCATTTCTTCCTTCTATGATTGTGTTTTAAATCTTTCTTATACTTGTAAGATTATATTTGATGAGTGACAAAATTTTTATGTTATTTTATAAAGCTCAAGTCTTCTGTTTGCCATTATTTATAGTTTTTGAAACTAAATTTTAAATAAAACCCAACTGAATCCTACGTTGGGTTCTTGTAGATCCGAGAGGTAGAAGAAATCAAAGGCTATGAAAAATAAGTATTTTTCCCCTTTTTTTTCTTGTTGTTTTTAGTTGCCTTTGATTGGTTTGAACTTATATCCATCTCTTGAGTTATTAGTTATGTTTTGATTTATATGCTTTTGTAGTGTTTGCGCATTTGTGTCTAACGATCCTCATAACCCAACATTTTTTATTATCATTTTTATGTTATAGAATATTGTTGCTTATAAGAAAGCTACTCTATCTTACTTATAAGCAACGGTACTCAGTTTAGTTCGTTAAATAGAAAATGTTGTAATCTATTATCTATTTTAAGCGTATTTTATTTCTAATTTTGTAGTAGTGATCCCGATTACTTGAAAAACTCTAAATGTTAATTTGATTAGTCTAATTTTAAAACGTAAGCCTTTATTTCAAATAACTTTTGTTATACACCCATTTAAGATGCATTTGTTGAATGGTTAATCTAAATCATTGGAGTATTTTACTCATATGGTTTCATCCTTTTGGCTGTATCTAGGAGTTATCCTTATTGTATGTTGAAAATCCCTTCCTATCATATATATTTAAAAAAAAAAAAAAAAAAGACTCTCCTGGTCTCCAACAACTTTAAATAATTTAAAATACAAAGAGAATAACTACTAAAAGTTTAGAAGAACATTTCCTCTTTGTTCACGTCTCCCACTTTAATCCCCTAATATTTCATCTTCCCTGAAAAAATTAACTCCTTCATATTCCCTTTGATTTCACATGCTCAGCTAAACAATGATCAAGTTACACAATTTCTTCATACTTCTAATCACTTTTCTACCCTCCATTAAATCACAGAATCCCACTAACTGTGATCGCTCATGCCCCAACAGTGAACTCAATCTCGTCCCCTACCCATTCGGCTTCTCCTCCGGCTGCCATATCCAACTCAACTGCACCTCCGGGAGCGTTTTTATCCGCGAATTCCCTGTCCAGCAAATCAACCCCGATGGTATTCTGGTCAGCCTCCCCGCCATCTGCGGCCGCACCTTCAAATCCCTCAGCCACCTCTACGGCGAACACTACGCTCCGACATCAGCCAACGCCATCCTCATGGAAAACTGCACGCAGCAGATGAAAAACTGCATGATTCCGATGACAACGTTACAAACCCACCTGGAAACTGTCAACTGCAGCGGTGGTGTTGGAGGTTATGGGAATATCAGTTGTTACTCCGGTGATGTTTCTAAGATGTTTCTTGATTATGAAAACATGACTGGAATGGGTTGCCGGTATTTGTTTTCTGCCGTTGCAACGGAGATGATTGGGGCTAGCACGGCGGTTCTGTCGTTGAACATGCAAGTGGTAAATTTAGGGTGGTGGGTTAAGGGGACATGCGACTGTTCTAGTGATGCGGATTGTACGGAAGTAGTGTCTCCGATTGATGGAAGCGATGGGCATCGGTGTGCTTGTAAGGCTGGGTTCGACGGCGATGGGTTTAAAGCCAGCTCCGGTTGCCGGAAACAGAAAGGTATGTCAAATTATTATTATTATTATTATTATATGTATATGTCATTTACCATGTATTTGGTTTTGGCTTGTTACGACAAAATTCTATTTTTTATAAATTGTGAAGTTAACAAATATAAATTACTTAATGTATTTATGTGAAAAAATTAGTAACTATTTCTATCAATAAATTAATCATAAAACTTGCAAAGTTTAGGTTATTTGATAGTTACTGTTTAAGTTAATTATGTTTAAGTGAATCCAACCCAATTTCTTATCACACCTGATAAAAGATATATCAAAGACTATTAACACAGAATCATTGACTTATAACTTCGGCATCAAAAGGTCTGAGTCTCACCAACTCACACTCAAGTTCTTAAATTCTTATAATTTCAAATATAACTTTAAAGACAACACTACAGGTTAGAGACGATGTGGTATAAATTAAGTATAGCAAAATTATTGTTCATGTGATACCTTATTAATTCAATGAAAAATTATATCCCTTCGCTTTAACTTCGATTCAGATCAATTAATTTGGTCTTTAATACCAACAACATATTTTCTGGAATATTAAATGCTTGTCTACAACATCTTCTATCTTGTAACGGTTTGGGATTTTAGATATAAGGTCTTTAATACTCTAATTATATTAAAATGATCATAATATCTACTTTATAATATTTCATATGTAAAAGAGAAATATAAGTATTTGGTCAGGAATAATTATAGTAGTTGTCGTATGGGAGACTCTTTATGAACAAGCAAATATTGTATTATTGTGTACCTTTAACGTGAAATAAGTTATCTACCAAGTTTAAAAACGATTAATAATAATTATATCTAGCATGGTGTGTTTAAAAATAATCTTTCGACGAAAAAGCAAGAGCATCTTTAGGGCTGTATCAAAGTCAAAAGATGCATGCTTCTATAAACAAATGCGAAGTTGATTCTTACTATTGAACATTTGTTGTTGAAACATGATCAAGTTGGTTAGATAATGATTATGATTATTATTTTAACTAGTTAATCTGTTATCATTTTTTCTTATATAACTTCTTGTAATAAATTAAAATGTTACAATTTACTTCTTAATGTTTTTTATACATATAATAACGTTTGATTCCATTATATAAACAAGTTATCAACCCTTTTAAGCCATAAAGTTATATATATATATATATATATATATATATATATATATATATATATATATATATATATATATATATATATATATATATAGGTTTAAGTTCATTTGAGACCATACTAATTTTGTGAAACCGTGAGACCAAATCTAAAAATAATTTTAAAATGCAAAATAAATGGAAAAATCCAAAAATTCTTTTTTTAAATATTATTTTCGGAACTTCAATTAACTAAAAAAAAATAAAAAATAAATAAAAGAAAATTCCGTTTTTTTTTAAAAATACGTGAAATATTCTAAATAGAATATTACACTGACATATTCTAAAAAATAATTTTAAAATGCAAAATAAATGGAAAAATCTAAAAATTCTTTTTTTAAATATTATTTTCGGAATTTGAATTAACTAAAAAAAATAAAATTAAAATTAAAAAAAATCCTATTTTTTTGAAAAATACGTAAAATATTCTAAATAGAATATTATACTGTACATATTCTAAAAATAATTTTAAAATGCAAAATAAATGGAAAAATAAAAAAATTCTTTTTTTAAATATTATTTTCGGAACTTGAATTAACTAAAAAAATTAAAAAAAATTAAAAAAAAAATAAAAAGAAATTAAAAAATGCATCTCACGGTCTCACAAAATTAAGCCGTTTCACATGAACCTAACCCTATATATATATATATATATATATATATATATAAACTGAAAAACTATAACAGATTACGTTAAAAGTATTCGTTAGGTTTTTATATGTTTATAAAGTACTAGCAAATGTTTATGTTTTTTAAGACCCAAATTTAATATGTAAGATTTGTAATTGCTTATTGATGTATTACCCTTTTCTCCCTTTCATTACAGTTATAAAATAGTTATTAATAATTTCTGACTTTAATAAAAAAAAAAGAAGCTATTATAAAATAAAGATTACCAAAAACTTTTTTTTGATAAATATTTTTTTCATAAACAACAATTTATAATTTAAAATATTATATATTAATCATAGTTCACTTTATCCCAATCTAGAATTGTCATGTAAAACTAAACATAATTCCCTTGATTCTACAAATATGATATACGATTGCTATATAAATAAATATGTTTCAACTGAGTTTGACATGTTTGATTTTTTGTTATTTTATAATATCTCTATTCAACGCCGTCTCAAAATTATTGTTTATTAAAATAAAATAAGAAATAATGGGGCATCATCCATGACTAGACCCCAAGTCTCGATCATTTCGGTAATTCAGGTCAAATTGATGATTAATCATGATTCAAAGTATTTTATTTTTAAATCAGGATATAAATTCTCGCAGAAGATATTACAATGTCTAATGGGTACTAAAAAGTCAATAAAATAATACGTATCAACATGTTTTATATACTAGCAGACGCGATTTTTACCTAATCCCATGCGACACCTCTATTTAACAAATACAACATGGCTTCTATTTTTTCTTTTTTTTAGGATATGTGACAAATATGTGTTATTTTCTTTAGTATTTATTGTGTATATTTTATTGACAACGACTTATCTTAATTGAGGGATCAACCAACGGCACATGCCTTTAAGTTCTTGCTTGGCTAGAAGGAGAAAATCATCAGGCTACAACCCTACATCAATTATACGTTATATATATTTGGATATATTCAGGCATTTGTTTCATTGACCTTTGTGTTGAAATTGGGATAAAATACAGGAAAAATATAATGTGTTATTATTATTTTAGTGATTAATAAATAATAATTTAATCATATTGTATATTGTGTAGTAGGATTAAATTTCAAACAATATAAAAACCAATGTTTTAAAAACCGGTTTGAACCGGCCGGTCGAACCGGTTGGACCGGGAACTGAGAGAGAGAGAGCAGTTCAACTATCACCGGTTTTATATTAATTTTTGAACCGGATTGAACCGATCGATTTTTAGACCGGATTGAACCGACCGATTTTTAGAAAAAACCGGTTGAACCGGTTAAACCGAATAAAAACACATGAAAAAGAATTATTTACATAATAAACTTTGGTGATTTTTTTTCAAATCTATTTAGTTTTCTCTAAATAAAAACATATGGTAAAAGTTATAAATTCTTTTGATGTTTTTGTATTGATCAAAAGCTATATTTCGTTTCGGTATTATATTTTATTTTCTTTTTAATGTATATGGATTGATGTAAAACATAAATTCACTAAAATTTATGGTTATGTGTTATTTTAATGTATTTAGATTCATCTACAAGTTATTTTTATATGTATTTTTAATGTTTGAACTTGTAAACATAAAATTCTTAATTTCTATATGTATGTATGTGTAGGAAAATTGAAAAAAAAACATGAAAAATATAAAAACCGGTTCACCCGCCGGTCAAACCGGTTGAACCGGGAACCAGTCACCGTACCGGTTCAACTAAAATACCGATTTTTAAAACATTGATAAAAACCAACAATTTCATATTTACCTGGTTTTGTCATCCAAAGATAATACAAAAAGGTAGAAGGAAATGTTAATCATTCAATCAACCTAGGCTAACTTTTTTAGAACACTAATTTTTGATGGGGTCCACGTCACTTACCCACTAACTACTACTTATACTTCAACTCATTATTTTTCAAAAACTATTAATTATCATCGTATCCAATTGAATAGTAACATATATATCATTTAATGATATTTTAATACATTAATATGATACATGTAATTATTTAATTGAGTAGGAAGATTTGTAAAAATAAATATAAGAGGATATTTAATTTCTCTTTTCAAAATTTTCATTTCACACCTTTTTATCGTTGAATTTTAATTTAACATCCTTTCTTAAATATTTAAAGTTTTTAACCATTTTTTTTATAAAAAATCAAGTTTTAATCATTTACTTATAGAAAATATCATAAAAATTTACAATTTCAAAAAAATCTATAAAATTTATTATTTTTATAATTGTTATAAATTTATAATTTTTTGAATTGTTGTAAAAAATATATAAAAAATGGTTAACAATAATTGTTAACGGTTCAAATAAAATAATGGAGTAATTTTTTGGCCTATGGAATCCTGTATAACTTAGGAGGGGTAAATGAATTATTTTGGAGGGTAAATAAAGTAATTTGGTGGGATCAAATATAATGTTGAAAGGAGTAATGAGTGAAGTATATTTTTAACTTTACGGGATATGAAAGGGGTACGACTCCAACGGACCACTATTATTGTGGGATAGAGCCCCAATATTGTCAAATATAGTCATTCTTCATTGCACCGTAGTGGTTGTGTATAGTGATAAAGTGATAATAATATTAAAATCTGTTTTTAATGTAAAATGTTAGTGTTGGTGGGAATTGAAAAAAGTTTTGGTGTAAAATTTACATAAAAATGGGATAGATTATAATGTCAAGGTTGGAGTTGCTCTATGTAACTAGGACCGATTTTTATTAAAACAATAAAAGTTCTAGAAAATTAAAAATAAGCAAAAAGTTTATTTGGATTTTTAATATGACCAACCCAATCCAACTTCTCATTTTAATGCCTACTAATATTCATTTCTTGGGTTTTTGGCGTTGAAAACTAGTGTTGCGATTTGCGAAATTACCGATGGTCAAAATCATAATGATGGTAACCATGTGGAAATCCTTACTTTTGAATTAAATAAGAAAACCTTAGTTCGTCCACCCAACAAACCTAAATGGTAGCAATCACAAAAGAGAGGACTTGAACATTACGCTAAATACTAATCCAACACTATAAATAACCATAACTTCACACCCCACCATCGTATTATACATGGTTTCTATACTACTTTTGAAGACATGACATAAATAGAATCAATTTCAAGAATCCTCGCATCCTAGTTAACCTTAAAAGGTAAAAGAATCTATAATGTAAGTTGTCCTAGTATATTAACTTTAATGGACCCTAAATGTTCCATTTAGTAGAGTCACCACCAATATCCGAGGTATAGAAGTCGATAAAAATGTCGCTGCAAAAATTACAAAAGTGACTTGATTCATCAATTTCCAAGAGGTTATTAGGTTCAGAGGTAGGGAGAGAGCATGTATTAACTCCAACATATCCATGAGTTAGGTCCCTCTTTATTTGGTGGTCAGAGCCTCCTTTAAGACTAAACACCTTTCATGAAAGATTTGCTAACTTAAATATAACTATCCAGTTCTAAAGTGTGTCACCAATTAGCCAAATATGACTTGAGCATTTAGCATTTGATACAACATTAAGATAGAGCATTCCAATGGATAATTCTGATGGAGTATTGTGGTGGATCATTTTGAGGAAGTATTATGATGGAGCATTTCGAGGCATCAAATTGCGCTCTAGGCATCAAGAATTAGTCATCAAGTTGAGGAAGTATTATCATGAAGTTGTACTGCCCTTTATCAAGGTACACCATCCTTTATTAGGATGTGCCCCGTTACTAGAAGATGCCCTATCTTGGAGCTAGATGTTCCCTCTTGAAATATGATGTGCCCCTTATGGGCATGATATACCCCTTGTGGGCATGTTGTATGCCCTTAGCAAGCAAAGGTGCCTTAAGTGAGAATGTGCTCTCCAAAGTCAAAGATTATAAAATCACTTAGCATGACATCCTATGATTGCTTGACATCCAATTGACATCCAATTGGACCTATGAATTAATGGGGGTGGCTCATTAGGAATTTATGTTTTCTTTCTGGTCTATAAATAGGGGCTGCAAGATAAGTATTTTGATTATCCTGAAGCTTGAAATTATACTTGTTACTCTGTTTGAAAGCTTGTGAATAAGAAAACTCCTTCATACCATGTGGATGTAGGTCATATTAACCAAAGGACCATAAATATTGTGTCTTTGTGTGTGTGTGTTGTGTTCTTTCTTGTTTATTTGATAACATTAGAGTTGTTATTTGTTGTATTGATAGAAGATGCATCTTATAAGTTCTATTTGGGGAAGTTTAATAGTTCGAATGATTTCAATGTGTGGAAGGTGAAGATGATGTGTCTTCTGGTTCAACATGGGTCAGTGATTGCATTGGAATGAGAATCAAAAATACCAGAAGACATAACTAACACGATAAAGGTGAACATTATTATAAAAGCACATAACGCTATTTTTTTGAACTTGGTTGATGAAGTACTACCATAAGTTGTGGATCAAACTCCCGCCTCTGGGATTTATGAGAAACTCTATGAAAAGTATTAGAAAAATAACCTCACGAATCGCCTATATCAAAAGTAATGTCTACCCATTCTTAAGATGATTGAAAAAACCCAAGTGATAAATCATCTGAATAACTTCAATCCTACCATCCTTGATTTATAAGTAGTTGATATGATGATTGAAGATGAAGATCAAGCTCTTATACCCTTATTTTCACAACTAAACTCTTATGAGACTTTTTGTTGATACCATGTTGTATTGTAGGATAAAGTTTAGTGTGAATGATCTAAAAGATTCATTGTTGTCTAAAGAAATAAAATGAAAGGTTGATGTCGGTGAAGATATTTCTTATTTCGGTTTATTCTCAGACAGAGGAAGAACAACTAAGAGAGGTGAAGATAACAAGGGCGAGTCTTATTAAAAATCTAAGGGTTCCATGAAGGTTAAATGTTATAACTCTAAAGAGAAAGGGTACTTCAGAGGAGATTGCCCAAATCTAAATAATGGTAATTGTTAGGGTGAATCAAGTAATAATAACATTGTTGTTTTGATTCAAGAGAGTATTGATTCAAGATACACAATTATATGGTTAAAAATCTAGATTGGTTGTTTGTTTCAGATATTCGAAAGAACATGTTCTCTTGGCACTTTAGCTAAGAATGAACTGACGTTTTCTGTTGAAGGAGTTTGAGTTAAGGCCTCTAAAGGTGCTTGTATGGATATGAAAGGAAAGCTGCAACATGAAATTTATTTTTTTTAGAAGCAATACAGTTAGAGGAACAATGGTTGTATTTCAATCATTGGAGAAACCAAATGATAAGACATATGTTATGTCATTGAAAATTTGGGCATATAAGTGAAAGGGCATGCTAATCTTAAGTAAACAAGGGTTATTCGGTAGTAGGGTTACTAGAAAATTTAGACTCTATAAACCTTGCATCAAAGGGAAGCAACATAGAGTGAAGTCCAATATTGGTCACCACATAAGCAATGAGATCCTTGAGTATGTTCACTAAGATTTATGAGGTCCACTTATTGTGAAATCCAAAGGTGTTTATCAATACTTTTTAATTTTCAATGATTTCTTAATTAAGGCGTGGGTGTATTTTCTAAAGAAAAAAGATGAAGTGTTTGAAAATTCCAAGTAGTAGAAAACGATGGTTGAAAAAATAGACAAGAAAACTAGTAAAAATACTTAAAACGTATAATAGGTAGGAGTTCTATAATACTTTGTTTGACAACTTCTACAACACTTTGTTTGACAACTTCTGCAAAATTAAAGGTATAATGAGGCATAACATTATACGGCATATACCAGATCAAAACGAATTGGCAGAACGAATGAACTAAACATTGATGTAGTGTGCTTAGTCCATGTGATTATTTGCCTATTTATCGAAACAGTTTTAGACGTAAGCAGTCTATATCGCTTGCTATCTAGTGAATAGATATCCATCAATTTGAATTGACTTAAGAACTCCTTAAGAGGTGTGCTTTAGGAAACCTTATGATTATTCTTGTTTATAAGTATTTTAAATACACTAATTACACTTATATTTAGATGCTTGTTTTTACTTTTAGCATGTGTATATATATATATATATATACATATATATATATATATATATATATATACTTTCACATACCTTTTATTCAAAGTGAGATGTAATTTTTAAATTAGTTTATGTAACTTTAAATATTTTCATATAATCTTTATTTGCTTAGTTTAATGAAAAAAAAAATAGTATTATTAATATTAGATTTATATTTATTTGTAATGTTAGTTTAAATATTAAAAAATAATACGTCGTAAATATTATTTTTACTAAAATTAGTAAAATTTAGTGAATGGTTGAAATGTGAATATTTAGTTGATTTTTTTTATAAAAGTTGAAGAGGGAAGTATTGTGGCGTGAAAGGTTGAAATGGTGAAAGACACACATGCCTTATAACCTAAGATGTGTTTGGTAACAAATTTACGAGAGCTTTTTTTTATTTTTTTATTTTTTTTATTATTATTATTATTATTTTTTTTTATTTATTATTATTATTATTTTTTTAAATCAAATTAAAGTAAAAGTTTCGTTCATGGTTCCCACTTTTATAAAAAATTCTTATAATACAAAAGTTATTGATGATATGCTCTGAAAAATTAGTTGGTAACCAGATGTTGAAGGTTGAAAGCTTAAAACTTATAGCTAGTAGTTGGTAGCTGTAGTTTTTGTTTCTATAGACGTGATCGATAAACAAGCCGAAAGCTTTTAAAAATGAAAAGTTATATAAAAACTAAAACTTAAAAGATATAAATGTTAAAAGCTTAAAAAGTAAAATAGTTTTTTAGTTTAGAGTTTATTTTTTAAAATAAAAGTTATAGAGTCATAATATTGAACATAACTTTTTTTTTTTTAATTCTAAGTTTTTTATAAAAAAATCTAAACCTCTTAAAAGCTTTAAAAACTTGATGCCAAACGCATTAGTTTTTAAAGGCTTTTAGCTTTTCGAAATCGATGCCAAACACATTAGCTTGTGAGGGTTTTTAGTTTTCAGATTTTTTTAACTTTAATTTCTATGTACTTTTATAACTTGAAAAGTTTCCGAATAGTTTGCAAAATCTGCACAAATTAAAGCTACAATATTTAGTTACAAACTAATTTTGCCACGTCTCACTTCATGGTAGTCAAGGAAATTACTAATTGTTCATCAAACACCAAATGTTTACATCCATACAATAACTGTTTCTAGGGGTATAACTTGCTGTGATCGACCCTTGATATAAATCATATAATTACATGAATGGTCCCTATGGTTTGGGTTCATAACATATAAACCTAAATTTGTAGGCTAATCATGTGATTATTAATTTGAAGAGTAAATTACATGAATGATCCCTATGGTTTGGGGTAATTTACACGTTTGATCGCTAACTAATTTTTTAGCTCGGAAAGTTCCTACTGTTTGTTTTTGTTACGCATTTGATCCCTACTATTTGTTTTTATTACGCGTTTGATCCCTATCTTACCTAAAAGGACTATTATTTAAATAGAAAAAAATGATGGGATATGTATGGTAAGGTGAGAGGAATGGAGTTCGGGGTGTATTTATTTAAATAAATTAAAAAATCAATAACAGAATAGTCTTTTTAGGTAAGACAGGGACCAAACGGGTAACAAAAACAAACTGTAGGAATCTTCCGAATTAAAAAAAATAAGTTTGTGACCAAACGTACGAATTATCCTAAATCATAGGGACCATTGGTGTAATTTACTCTAATTTGAATAATATCTAATAATTTATAATTCATTTTAACAGACACTTCTCATTGCAACCCTTCAAAATATTTCGCGGGTAACTGTGGAGGGACAGGTAGAGTTGGTGTTCTCGTTGGAGGTATTTAACTTTCTGTTTCTTGTATTTATAAACTTATTATCATTTAAAATTACCCAATTAATTTCAATCTTATTTTCCCAGCTGCTCTTGTGGGAGCTTCATTGATTATATGCATCGGATTAATTATTTGCTTTATTCGCCGGCGCACCATTTCAAGATCCCGAAGTAGAATAAACAGACAGTTTTATGAAGCTAAAGGCATCACCATTCCCATTTACACTTACAAAGAGATCGAAAAGGCCACAAACAACTTCTCAGATAAACAACGACTAGGAACCGGAGCTTATGGCACTGTATACTCCGGCAAACTCAACAATGGAGAATGGGTAGCAATAAAACGGATTAAACACCGATCCGACTGCGACAACATCGATCAAGTCATGAACGAGATCAAACTTTTGTCATCCGTAAGCCACCCAAATCTTGTTCGGTTGTTAGGTTGTTCCATTGACAAAGATGAACAGATACTTGTTTACGAGTTCATGCCAAATGGAACCCTAGCACAACACTTACAGAAAGAGCGAGGTAATGGGCTTCCATGGGTTGTTCGCCTTACAATCGTAACAGAAACAGCTCAAGCGATTGCATATCTACACTCGGTAATCAATCCTCCGATATATCATAGAGATGTAAAGTCTAGCAACATATTACTAGATTACAGTTACAAGACAAAAGTAGCGGATTTTGGTCTTTCTAGATTAGGAATAGTGGAATCATCACATATTTCAACGGCTCCACAAGGAACACCGGGATACTTGGACCCTGAATATCACCAGAACTTCCATTTATCGGATAAAAGTGATGTTTATAGCTTTGGGGTTGTGTTGATTGAGATTATAACGGCTTTTAAAGCGTTGGATTTTTCAAGAAGACATAATGAGGTCAATTTGGCGTCACTAGCTATTGATCGGATAAAAAAAGGTTGTCTTGATGAGATAATCGATCCTTCTCTTGACCATAACAAAGATACGTGGACGTGTTCATCAATCCATAAGGTTGCTGAGGTGGCATTTCGGTGTCTTGCATTTCATAGTGAGATGAGACCTTCAATGACTGAGGTGGCGGCTGAGTTGGAGAAAATTAGGCCACCAAAAGAAGAGAATGGTGTGGTATCAAGGGAGGGATCAAACCCTTCATCAGTATCTATTGTTGATGAGAAGGAGATGAATATGGAGGTGAACAATATTGAATCTGATAAGAAGGGTTTGCTTGATAGCATGGATTTGACAAATGCTAAAAGCTGTTCACAAAATTCTGCGGAGGATCAATGGCTAAGTGGGTCGAGCTCACCTTCATCTAATGGTTTACTTGGTTCGAGTTCAAGGATGTAAAACGGTAGTCATGCTTCTGGTCAACATGTGCATTGTTTAAGGTATGAATGTACAGTTGAATTGTTTTGTGACTTGAAATTGTAAATTTTTGAACTTAGAGATAAGTTTAAATTTTGTATTTTATGTTGCTAAAAGTACAACCTGTGTTAAACTAAAACGGATTCAAAATAGTGTATATGTCCGGTTATATAAAAGGGATTTTATATAACACATACAAAATACCAATTTTTTTTTTTTTTTTAATTTTTATTTTATTTTTTTATTTGGCTTAAGGTTGGAAGTGGCATGTCTTTTTTTAGTCATCGTGACCTATTTTACTTGGTTTAAAGAGCCATATCATCAACATCAGCACTCATGTGGACAAAACAACGTCATTTTTAACCTTCACATGTGTACCCCAACAAGTCTGACCGTTCATTCCTGGCCTCCCTATATAAACTACCATACGTGCCGTAAAATGGCCATTCCAAAAACTTTGTTACACTAATTTACCTAAAAATTTCTTTACCCTAATCTTGTGAAAATGTTGTGTAACATCCATAAAATTCATAAAAATTTAAAACTTTTTCAAGCATCCAAAAAACCATTACTTATTATAAAATGCTTTCAAAATAGTTTCATATTAGAGAATCCCAGAAATAAAATTTAAAACTTTTTCAAGCATCCAAAAACCATTACATATTATAAAATGTTTTCAAAATAGTTTCATATCAGAGAATCACAGAAATCAAAATCATAAAATGTGAGGAGGTGCACAATCAAGCATTCGCCTTCTCGCGATCATTCGAAGTACCTAAAAGAAATCCAAAACTGTAAGCCTGAAGCTTAGTGAGTTCCCCCAAAATACCAACGTCATACAAAAAAAAAACAATAATATAACAAACAACATGTATATAGAGTCTTCAGTATGACTGGACCACCCTCGCTGGGCCTTCAGTCTATCTAGTCCACTCTCAGAACCTTCAGCATGTCTAGTTCGCCCTCCCGGGCCTTCAGCCTGTCTGGACCGTTCTCCGGGCCTTCGGCCTGACTGGTACGACCCGATGGGCCTTCAGTCTATCCGGACCGCCCTTGGTTTGTTGGCCTAGAGCACGAAGCATGACCGCCTCAACCCACATGCAATCACACAATCAACACATAAATATCATACACTAGCTAGCATGCACAAAATAGTCATACCGATCTACAGATCACTAATAATAGCATCATCCTATATACTAAGATACCAATCTAACAGATCGTTAAACGTAGCATCATTTTAACACCGTAAATTTTCAAACAAAATTTTTCATTTTAAAACACATAAAAACACATAAAAGCTTAGTGAGCTTCTTAAAATACCACACACATCTCATTAGCCTCTCATGGCTATGCTCAATTAAGACCCTACGATCAATGTGTCTCAGTGGGACCCTCCAGTCCCACAACTCGGATGGACCCTCTGATCCTAACTCAGTAAGCTTAGAATATAACACAACACAAATCACAATGACATAATGCAGGATAGCACAATACTCAATATAAGCACATAAGACCCTTCGGTCACACAAAGATTTCCACTCTAGGTAAGTATAGTGATAAGACTCACCTCGTAAGCAAGCAAGTAAATAATATCATACACAAATCTTGAACTACCCTCCGCCTAACACATAAGATAATTATCTATAATTAACATTTAAATCACGACTCTAAATAAACTAAGTTATTCTCTCTCTCAAAAGCTTGGAATGGGTAAAATACCATTTTACCCCTCCATGGTCCCCATAATCACTACCTTGAACAAACCCTAAAGCCAACAGAAGTCAACACTTGAGTCAACTATCCATGTTGACCTGACTCGTCGAGTGCATCTATGTGACTCACTGAGTCCCCATTGTTCCTCATAACATCACGAAAACCCAACTTAACTCGTCGAGTTGTCTCATCAACTCACCTAGTTACCCATGTCCAAACTCATTGGGGAAAACCCTATTTGACTCGTCAAGTCAACTCATTAAATCGACGAGTCCATTAAATTTGTATTCTCATTCAGACATTTTAAGGTAGATTCACCACTCCAAACTATAGGTCTAGTCTCCTAAGGCTCGAATGTCACCTAAAGCTTCGATCTTTACGTTCATGCATATCATATTTGCTCCATAATTCAAATACAAGCTCCAACAAGGGTTTAGTACTCATAGACTTTCCTTTAACACCATAAAGCTTTGGTCTTTGGGCTCCCAAGACCTCCTACAATCCAGATTTGAGGATTCAACCTCAAGATCTACTCAAGGGACTCAATACACAAAAGAGGGATGGGGAAAAGCCCTAGAATTCCCCAAACTAAGATCTCACAAGAAAAATGATTAATATAGCATCTTTTTACCTTAAACAGAAGCTATCCACTGAGAATCTTTGATCCAAACGTCCCTCCTCGCTCCAAGCCTTAATGCTTTCCTCTTCATCTCTCCAAGTGCACGAAAATGCTCAAGATGACATCTCCTTCTCACATAACAAGCTAAAACTCGATTAGGGTTCTTCACAGGGCTCAGGGGTGATGAGGGGAGGCAGAAATGAGGGCTTAAGGCCCTTTAAATAGGCCATAAACCTGGGGATTTAGGGTGTCCTCACATAGCGCCAACTCGGTGAGTTGGCTCTCTGACTCGTCGAGTTAGTCTTTAAACCCACGTGACCAATCCAACTTTGCTCGACGAGTCAGGCACACAACATGTCGAGTCACTCATTAAATCCCAAAACTAAATATATAAATATAATACCTGAGATTCAGGATGTTAAAATTCTCCCCCACTAGAATCAGACTTCACCCTCGAAGTCATACTCTAGAAATAATTATGGATACTGGTCACGCATCTCGGACCCCGGCTCCCAAGTCCACTTTTATCCCTTCTGATGTTGCCACTGAACCTGGACTAGGGGCACCTCTTTATTCCTCAAACACTTCACTTGCCGATCCAATATCGCTATCGGCTTCTTAATATAATTCAGGCTCACATCCACCTGAATGTCCTCTAATGGTACCACCACCGTCTCATCGGCTACAAACTTCCTCAACTGAGAAACGTGGAAGGTGTTATGAATCTAACTCAACTCTGTAGGTAGCTCCAGCGGTAAGCTACCTTACCCACTGTGGTGATCACTCTGAAAGGACAAATATATCGGGGCCCCAGCTTGCCTCGTTTCTTGAATCGGATCACCCATTTCCATGGGAATACCTTCAGGACGACAAAATCTCCAACCTGGAACTCTAGCTCGGATCGTCGCCGACCTGTGTAACACTTCTGGTGACTCTGGTCTGTCAGTAACCTCTATCTGACCTGCCGAATCTGTTCGTTCATCTTCAGCACTATCTCAGTGCCACACATCACTCGCTGCCCTACCTCTCCCCAACATATGGGAGTCAGACACCTCCTCCCATATAAGAGCTCAAAGGGAGGCATGGCAATACTGGAATGGTGGCCGTTGTTGTAAGAAAACTCATCCAAAGGAAAATAGGTGTCCCAACTTCCTCCGAAGTCCATAACACATGCACGCAGCATGTCCTTGAGCATCTGAATCGTCCACTCGCTCTGCCCGTCTATCTGCAGGTGGTATGCAGTATTGAAATGCAACTGGGTATGCAACTCCTCATGAAATTTCTTCTAGAACCTAGAAGTAAAACGCACATCCCGATATGACACTATCGAGATCGGTACTCCATGTCGTGCTACCACCTCTCTCACATAAATCTCGGCCAGTTTCTCTGTAGAAGAGCTCTCACGATGGCGAGGAAGTGAGCACACTTCGTCAACCGGTCTACAATCACCCATATTACGTCAACCCCACGTACGGTCCTCGGTAGCTTGGTGATAAAATCCATCAAAATTTGTTCCCACTTCTACTGGGGAATCTTTAGAGGCTGTAACGGACCATGCGGACCCTGGTGCTCCGCCTTAACCCGACGACAGGTCAAGCACCGCTCAACTACCCATGCCATGTCCCTCTTCATACACGGCCACCAGTAATCTCTCTTTGGATCAAAATACATCTTAGTGGCCCCTGGATGGATCGAGAATCTCAATCTATGTGCCTCCTCCATCAATACACAATGAGATCCACCTGTATAAGGCACCCAAATCCGCCCTTGGAAAGTCATAAGCCCACAACTATCTGTCTCAAACTCGGAAACCTGCCCAATCACCCGCTCCTTCTTGTGGTTCTCTGGTCTCACGGCCTCCACCTGGGCCTCTCGAATGGTATCTAAGACTGGAGTCATCACTATCATCCTCATGCACACATCTTGGATTGGAGCACTCGTTGATCTATGGCTCAGGGCGTTGGCTACCACATTAGCCTTTCCCGGACGATATAAGAACTCGCAGTCATAGTCCTTCACTACATCCAACCACCTCCTCTGCCTTATATTCAGGTTGGGCTGATCCGTGAGGTACTTTAGGCTCTTGTGGTTTGTATATATGATACACCGAACTCCATACAGGTAGTGGCGCCAGATCTTGAGGTTGAACACCACCACCCCAACTCCAAGTCGTGGGTGGGATACCTTGTCTCATGAGGCTTCAGCTGCCTCGATGCATATGTTGTCACGTGCCCCCTCTGCATCAACACCACACCCATCCCGAATATGGAAGCATCAAAATAAACCAAAAAGTTCTCCATTCCCTCTGGAAGGGCTAACACTGGGGCTTCGCACAATCTCTGGCAAAGGATCTCAAATGAGGCATGTTGTTCAGGCCGCCAAGTAAAAGTAACACCCTTTTGGGTCAACCTGGTGAGAGCAACGACAATCTTGGAGAAATCTCTGATAAACCTCCAATAGTAGCCGGCCAAATCTAGAAAACTCTTGATCTCGGATGGGGATCTCGGCACCTCCCACCTCATTACTACCTCAATCTTGGCCGGGTCGAGCAATATCCCATTCTGATTAACGAGGTGTCCTAGGAACTAGACCTCTCATAACTAGAAATCTGTTGGGTTTTGAGCACTATCACTTCCTAAGTATGCAT